ACTGCAAACTAGTCCTAGCGTTTTGGTATCCTCCTGATGACCTATAAGAAGATCGTCAGAAGGCTGAATTTGAAACTGTTCGCAATATGATGACCATTTGGTGAGCATAAATCCAAATGGCTTTAAAACTGAGTTTAGCTCAATATATAGCAACTCCAACTCCTGCAAAGTTTCTGCACCAGACAGCAGGTCATCCACACAAAAGTCGTTGGCCAGAGATTTTGACGCCAATGGATGCGAATCTGCGTGCAGCTCACTTAAGTATTTAAGGCATCGAATAGCCAAAAACGGTGCCGAAGCGGTACCATATGTTACCGTGTTCAAACGGTATATTTTAAGTGGTTCTGTGGTATCTTTTCTCCAAATAATCAATTCGAACTTGCGTTGTGATTCCATGACTTCGACTTGCCGATACATTTTGGCAATGTCAGCGTACAAAGCTGACGGCCTTAGCACGCACTGATACGGAATAAAATAGTGCGGCTCTCTCGGAACCGTGTTGTCGATTGCGTTCATATGTCCCAAAGATATCTATTCAATCATGAAACTTGTGTACATGGCATGTACGTCTGGCTGCTTGGACAATCTCCTTTCTAAGGCTAGAAAGCGCCTTTTAGCTGTTTTACAGGAGCTGCCAAGTGACTGCGGACTGGCCTAAGCGAGTGATCGAGTTCATAAATGACTTCTCGTAAAGCATTTGTTCTGGAGTATATAAATGTGAGTCAGTCAAATTTGGAACTTCTTTCAACTCCCAGAACTTGCGAACTAATGCATCTAAGGAACTTTGTTCATTATCAAGCGGAAAACTCTGATTCAAACTAAAGAGTGAGGCAGAACAAAGTGCAGATGAGCCAATCCAGCCGAGTGCTGTAGCTTGCAAAGTCGGCTACTCACTGGTTCCCTTAATTTGACCTTCTCTTAATAGGTCAAAGAATACATCTGCGCCAAGAAGCAGATCAATGCGTTGCGGCCTATGAAACTGAAGATCTGCTAGTTCCAGACCTTTTGGCACGTCAACGTTGACAATTATCTTTTCAGGCTGGTATGACAAAATAGTTCTCAGTACACCAAATTCTGTCATCAAATCAAAATTGCTACTACGAGACGCAATTGACGTTAGCACAATGTGACGCACTGCAGACTTGCGTTTACCAATGCCAACCAAATTAATATTTTTTCGCTCTTTTTTAAGTTGCAAAAGTTTTGGCGAGCTCCTCTGTCATAAAATTAATTTGGGACCCTGAGTCGAGCAAAGCCCTAGCAAATTGGTAGGAGCCCGATTGATCCATTACACGAACCACTGCCGTAGCCAATATCACTTGATCAGAAACGCTCGTGGCGTGATTAACAGCCGAAGTTTGGGCTGGCGTTTCAGCTTGCGCCACAAACGATTGGCTGGCAGTTGCAGCTTGCGCTGAGTCGACAGAATATTTATGTAGAAGTGTGTGATGTGGTTTCGAACACACTCTGCATGTAGTCGATTTGCATGCCTTTGTTGTGTGACCTTTCCTTAGGCAGTTTATGCACAAAGGGCACATTTTCACGAACTTAAATTGTTCGTCGCGGTTAAGTGCTGCGAATTGAGTACACGAATGTATAAAATGGTCAATCGCTTGGCAGAACAAACACTTCGGACTCGGTGGCGGACTGACTTGTGCACCTGCCAGTGCTATTTTGCCACCTTTCTTTGACGCATCAAAATTTTGTTTTTGAGTCCGGGAGCAACCAGAAGATGATTCCTCAGCAGATAAGTGCTGGTAGCGTCTGTTGAGAGATGCCTCGCAGTCTTCCCAAGACGGAAGTTTGCTATAGTCGAGGCTCTCTTCCCACTTTGAACGAGTATTGGGATCAACTTTACTCATGACCAAGTGTATGAGCATAACGTTGGAAATTTGTTTGTCATTGCCTAAGGATAGCAGTGATTCGTAGCTAGCGCGAATGTTATCAATCAACGAACGCAAGGAACTAGCAGACGAGCTTTGCATTTTCGGAAGGTCAATTAGTATGGCAATGCTATCAAATATGATAAGACAGCTGTTGTCGTAAACGCGCTTCAAAGCTGCCAGTGCCTTTGAATAATTTTCCTCGGTAACTTGATAAGCCTTGACCGTTCTTAGTGCTTCTTTCTCTACGCATGACAGCAAATGATTTAACTTTTCAATATTTGAAAATGATGATGTCCACTAGATTTTCAAACAGCCCAATGAAGTTCTTATAGTTCGAATAGCTACCAGCAAACCGTGGAAACTTCATTGAAGGCAACTGTTTGCTATGCGAGGATGCAAATATTGTGGAATTCACTGCGATGTCCCTTTGAAGCTTTGGCCGTCCGCCTTTGCTCATCAAGAGTGCTTTAGTTGAGACGCAGAGAATCTCCAAGTCTGCCCTTGACACTAAGGCCGGATCAATTCTGTATAATTCTTCCTGCAGGTCAAAGGCTTTATCAATGTACCGGGGTAAAATTTCCAATTGGCACTTAACAAAAGGCTCGGTGCTGCCAGAAGTTGTCTGGATAGAACTTTTTATTCGTTCGATATCGCGAACGACATTGGCATGTGACTGAAGCAAGCAATCAAATTTATTTGAGATAGAGTCGTCTTATGCCCTGCTTCGGGTTTGCTTGCTTCTTTTGCCAGGCATATTTATAAAATAAAGGAATGCAAAAGGCTGTGATAATGTATTTCAATTGTAGTACAGTGTACTAAATTGCTAGCCTTTACTGTTCTGCTCAACGAAAGTGTGTTTATGTTGTTGTTTACGTGTACACTGCAGCTGGCGCGCACAAACAAATAGCGTACTAAACGCTAAAGTTACCAAACAGCGAACTGTCCAGATGATTTCTACCAACGCCGACAGCGCAGTCGACGACGAATGCAAGCTACACGATAGCAGCGAGCCAATAGTGCACCAACGATATGGGCACCGAAGCACAGAGAGCGGGAGAGAATCAGCGATATGCGGACGAGCCAACGCTGCTGCAGTGTGACAGCAGCACAACAACAATATCGAAACGAACAAATTAGCAGAACGGCAAGGCAAACCAAAACTGCAAAATCAGTGCACGCAAACGCAATCTCACCTGTTGCTTATGTACAACTGTAATTCTCCTGCTGCACTTGTACCTAAGTATGTACCTATGTACAACGGCCGCTAACGACGGCTTGCCCAGTGCAGCAAGAAAGCAAGTACAGAAGAAATTAAGCAACGGCGACTTAGCGGAGTGCAGTGACCTTTTCCATACACTGATTTGGCGTGACAAATTTCTAACCAACGTTTGGTTATGTGCTTATGTATTCTGTATGTTCGAGTATGTATGTATATATAAGGTAGCAAGAAATAAATAAATGCAATTCTCTACGCAAATATTTGTATGTATGTATGTTTTCTTTTAAACTTTATTTATTTTATAAAGCTCCAACAGGTATGCGTTAGTAATTATATATTTCTTTAATTGAGATGCCGACTGACAAATAAATCACGGTCCACTCTATTTGCTAAATTTACAAATGAGTATTGCAAATAAATTTGTGCATATAAATTTATTAGTGAGTTGCACAAATTTATATGTGTACATAATTTACATATGTGTTGCAACTTGTCGTTTAAATACACACACAAGTCGCACTCGTTACCTGATATAAACTTCCCCGAAAATTGTGGCAATTCATCAGCTGGGAGTGTAGCCAAACGTCCAATTGTCCAGGAGAACACCGCCAATAATCTCGCGCAGATCGAAGACACCAGTAGGACCAGTAGACACCACCACGACGGTAATCGCAAGTCGAAAGCCGATTCGATGTGAGATCCAACGAGGGAGTAGACTTCGGTAGTTCACCCGGGGGCGCCAAAACGTACGACGTTAAGCCGGTATGGCAAAAGCAAAAGGCTTACAAAGTTTATATAAAAAGAAAGACGGTGTCTTTCTATGGACGATTTATTGGTTTAAGAAAATGATCCCACGTTCGCACAGCTAGACTTCAATATAACAAGTGTTTCTTAATTTGTATCGAAGCTACATACAATACAAACGCCGCCGCCGTAAGCCCAACATGAGAGCGGCAATTTCAATTATGCTGCTCGCAGGCAGCTGCAGTGTACGACAATTTTCTCTTAACTAATGCATTGCTTTCAATTATAATTCTCTTAAATAATCTTAAAACTAAGTGAAATGCCTTTAGACATACTGGCACTTAAAACGCAATAACTTCACTTCCAATCGATGTATAGATAGCGCCACCAGGGGGCGCTAGATTCGGAAATCTTAAAAAACACAACAATTCAGTGGTGCAGCAACGCAAGCTGGAAACGCTAGTACTTGTATAATATAATAATAATAATTATTTCTAGGTGTAGAGGTTTGTTTTCCAAATCAAAATTTCAATTCATTGTCATTAATTAATTGTTATAAAAAATAAAATAGTATCAATAATATAAAGAAAATTCAATAAAATGTCGCCTGAATGTACTAGTCCATTCTTGTTAACGCCTAACATATTGAAACGGGTATCAATTTTTTTTTCTTTTTTTTTTTTTTTTTTTGTTTATTCGAATCATTGAAAGAATTTAAATCTGCATATTTATCAGCAAAAATGATATAATATTTACCATTAAACTTATACTCACTCAGCATTATGGCCGCTATAACGGGTATAGTTATCAGATTAAATATTAAAACTATTGCAAATATTACAGTCTACAACAAAATAATAGCATCAGACAGTCTTATCGTTTCGGTATAACCAAAAGAGTTAAGGTTTTGAAAACATACTTGTAGATTTCTAAATATGCATATTGTAGTCAGGCTTTAAACGAGTGCGCTTTACTTCGGCTCTCAATCCAAAGTGACTCGAACATCATTTTATTCGTTTATCTATTATTCTATGCTGTCTCGCATACATAACGAGAGCGTGTTTACCGTTAATCTTAAATGTATGTATGCTTATGTACAGTGGTCTTACGTGCTAGCTATATTGCTAAAATACTTATTTTTTTTTATTAAGAATTCGTTCAAGATGTTGCTTCACGGGGTCTCAGCCTGGTCTATTCACTCTCCGATGCGAACGGTCAAACTGACTTGGCTAACTCACTACTAGATCAGCTGATCGGAGGCAAACGCAAGGTCAATCAGGTTGCGCCGAACACAGAACTTTTTGCAGAGGGTACCCTCGGGAAAACACCAATGGGGTAAGTACTTAAAATAAGAACCATGAATCAATTGTAAAGTTAATTGGTCTTATAGTGGAAACATTACAACTTATAAGGAGCTGTGCGCACTTGCATCGGATCTAAACCAGCCCGACATGATATATAAATTCATGCAACTTGCTAATCACAATGCCACTTGGACAAGCAAGCTAGGTGCAGCTTTTGGCATCAAGACACTATCTGCAGATTCACGTCTAAAAATGCAGCCGTATCTAGGTAAAATAATACCGAGGCTTTATCGCTATAAATACGACCCAACACCAAAGATACAAAATTCTATGATTACAATTTGGGATTCAATTGTCATCGATTCCAAAAATGCTATTGAGCAATATTATTGGGAAATATTTCATGAACTTTTGGAGAATTTCACAAGCAAAGAGTGGCGGGTGCGCATCGCTTGCTGTCTGGCAGTGAGGGACTTACTGAAGCGTCCCAATGGCTTGCGCTTACGGAGCGAGGAATGTAAGCCAAATGCCACTTCTTCTTCGCTACAAAAAATATCGGAAGGAATGGATGTAGATGAGGTTCCTGAACCCGAGCTAAAGGAGCTTTGGTATCAGCTTTTCCGAGTCATGGATGATATACACGAGGGCACGCGACTAGCCGCTCAAGGTACTGCTACTGTTTTAGGCAAGCTTTGTACGGTCGCAGTCTCGGAGGAGCATGGAAAATTACGAAGTGCAGTAGCAACTTCCGTACTACCATTTCTGCTTAATGAGGGCGTGGACCATAAAGTTGGGGAAATTCGCAACGTGAGCTTAAAGACCATTTCGGATATGATTGAATCATCGCGTGTGAATATAGCACCACATCTGGTGACACTAATACCCTGTTTGCTAAAGGCCACGGGTGAGCTAGAAAGCTTGAAGCTCTCCTATGTGTCAACACGTTTGGGCGCTGACAACGAGGCGCAAGAAGCTGTTGACTCGTTACGCGCAGAGGCAGCCAAATCACATCATACAATGGAAACAATTAACAAATGCGTACAATTTATAGAATATCCAGTGCTTGAGAAGATGACGCCTTCAGTTTTAGAGCTAATGAAGACCAGCGTCAATTTGGGTACCAAAATTGGATGCGCGCATTTTGTTTGTCTGGTTGGTGATACTGTTAAACTGCGTACACTAATTGATAATATGTAATATGACCAACTTTTACAGATCACCATACGATTAGGCAAAGAGATGACGCCTTTGGTCAGCAAATACTTGGGCGCTTGCTTCTTAGGAATAAAAGATCGCAACGCAATTGTACGCAAATACAACGCCAGTGCGATTGGGCATCTAATGGGTTTGGCTAAGGTGAGTTTAATAACGTATAATGAATTAATATTCGAAAAAAGCTTTAATGCTCTTTATACTCTCTTTTTATACAAGACTGTATTAGGTAGGAAGTTATAGCCAAGCTCTGCCAGCTGCTGTTTTTGTTCCTGCTTTGGCTGAACTTTATATTCTCCCACACAGACACGCATAGACATAGGCACAGATTATTTCAAAGTCGGGATTTTAGCTTTTTCACTTGTTATAACTAAGCACAATCGGTGCACTTCCAGTTTTCGAAATAATTTTTTTTTGTCATGTCCCCAACTTTAAAAACTTCGAATAACTCCCGTGAGTAGACATTCTTTCGGTACTGTTTCTGTAATGTTTTGGTAAGTGGCGTTAGTCAGACGATTACGGGCGAGCTCCCACTTTCGTGATAAGGAATCGAAGCCCGGTTCTCGATCAATCATGACTAGATATCCTAAACGCACAAATTGGTCCTCGTATTGAAATTATATAGGTAATATATAAACGTAGCGATGCGCTTCAATCACGCCAGCCAAGGAAATGTCAACATATGTGGGAACCCAATCGAGTTTGTTGATAACTTCCCATACCTCGGCACCATTATCTCCAAAAATGGTGGCGTAAACGAAGATGTGTCGAGCCGTCTTACCAAAGCCAAACTCCGAATTTTCAATGCCTGCGTGAAATCCACATTACTGTATGGGAGCGAGACGTGGCTGACCACACAAAGAATGAGCCAACAGCTGCAGGCATTTATAAACAAATGCCTCAGAATTATATGCGGGGTATTCTGGCCGAACAGAATATCAAACGCAGACCTGTGGAGCATGACTGGTGAATTTCCAATCCACCTCCAGATAAGGAAGAAGAAATGGATGTGGATTGGCCACGCACTGCGAAAGGACCCACACAGCATTGTAAGGATAGCGCTAGACTGGAACCCCCAAGGAAGCAGACGGGTCGGCAGACCTAAGATAACTTGGCGACGGACCACCCTTCAGGAATTATCCCATAACAACATCACATGGGACACAGCTAGACAGACGGCCAGAAATAGAGTTCGATGGAAAGTACTTGTAGAAGCCCTAAGCTCCCAAGTGGAGTAAAACAGGAATATAAAAAAAAATATATATAAACGTAACACCAGAGTACCCACCTCAGGGTACACCCAGATACATTCCAGCTCACCTCGACACTCGACCTGAGTCAGATAACACAAGTCAATGAGTCAAAAAAAAGCCAAGAAACTTTTCAATGCAACTAGATCCCAAGGAGGGGAGCAACACTGATGGGCATATAAACAAAATCTGTCAGAGTATAAGAAAATACTTAGATAAGCGAAACGATCCTCTAGGCAGAACTTCTCTGATATCAAGAACACCTCCGACACAGCCAGGCTACAAAAAGGTATTTCAAAACTTCTTCAACGCTTGGTTACCTCCAGAAGCCAGACAAATCATGGACAAATTCAAGTGAAGAGTCACGTGAACAGCTTTTATGGTACCTAATTCCCCAGCTCCACAAGCATAAAACCGACCAGTAGCGCTCCAAGCGCTGGTGCATCTCAAATGCCCCCTGATTTATTATCTGAAAACAGCATTCGATGTGCAATAAATAGCTTCAAACCCTATTCTGGGGCATCTTCTTCACGCAGGAGATAAACCTATCAGATGGTTAGCAGATAAATATATATTACACAAGGTTCTCCTCACAGGAAACTTAGCTAAGATCGTAAGTGGTCTTCATACCCAAAGCAGGTAGACCTTCGCATACCAACCCGAAGGACTTCGGACTCACATTTTACTCTGAGCTCTCTGCCTACTGCAAAGGCACATCCACCGCAATGGCACTTCATGCTGTTATCTCGAGAATAGAGAAATCTCTCACTACCAGACACTATACCCTTTTCGCCTTCTTAGACATAGAAGGTGCTTTCAATAACGTGCCCCCAATCGCAATCACAAGCTTGGGGATGGACAATACCATCGTAGAACTGGTAAGAGAGCTCGTCCACGATGTCTCGAAATGTGAGTTGGAGAACCACTCGGTCGTTCTCTCACCCTTCCTATGGAACATGGTGTGCAACACACTTGTACGATCCTTGAAAGGAATAGGGGGTGTTCTGCTATATCTAACGCGGATTATGTGACAGTTTACTTTTCGTGTATATTCTTTGAAAGCGCTGGCTAACGGCTGGATGTTAGTGGCAGCCTTAGGTAACGGCTGGACGTGAGTGGCAGCCCAAGCGGAAAAATGTCAGATTACAGCCAACTTCATGTTTACAATAATACTTCCATGCAAGCGAGAACGTGCTTATATGTTATTAATAAATCCACATGTTCTAACATCCAAAGTGTATATTGTGTTAACGAAATAATAAATAGGAATTCAACATGGGCGACTTCTAGCGGCCTTAATGTAAGCCCCAGCACAACAGGGCTGGTGCTCTTCAGTAGGAAATATAAAATTCCACCCCTTCGGCATTCATTCATTGACTACTGCATCTTCACACTCCTTTTACACCATCATTTCAACTACGGCAGACTGGAATTCTGGCCCACCAGACTGCAGCAATCTTTCTAAAATCTATCCAGAAGAACTTGGCATTAAACAATTTTTCGTACCCCTGGACCACTGCAGTGTGTTCCTAGATATCCAAGAAACCCTCCTTACTTCCAAGCATAAACTCGGTTAGCCAAGCGGCAATAAAATCCCTAAAAGCCGATAACATAGAGAGAAATTCTGTAGCCGCCGAGCTGGCATGACATGTCGTGTATGTGTGCAGTACAGAGTTCAGTAAAAGCAGCAACAACAACATCTACAAGCACAGTTTGGGCAGAAATTACACTTTTGACTATGTGTTCCTTTTCATGGGATCTGTCATGATGAAACTTACCATGAGAACAGAAGCATTAACTAAATTTGGGTAACAAATTTCAATAAATACGGGATTTATGGAAAATCACTTACAGCGGAGGAGTTGGGAGGCACCAAAAAAACACTGACTGGTCTTTTATAGTACTTAAAACAATATATAGATACCAAGTTTGGTAATTCTATATCTTATACTTTCCGAGATCCTTAAGTTCATACTGGCGGATAAATAAACTGCCCCGCCTCCCTTCTATCTGTTATATCTAAATTCTGTTACCTTTTGGGTACAGGGTACAAAAAGCACCCATTCGGAAGCTTGAAAACTTTTAACTGGACGAAAACTTGCAATGAACCTGAATGCAGAAGATAATTCAACACAATCATAGAAAAATACAGAAGCATCCGTGATGCTAAAATGAATCGCAGGTAGAAAGAATTTAAGATCAGCACATATGTTGTGCGTAAAACAGTTTTTTTACCACATAAAGTTTTGTGACTAAAGCCTTAGTACTTTCGGTGTAAACTATATATCAGTGGTGCAAATATCATTAACATTCGAAGTGGAATGCAAATCGCGATTAATGAAAAAGCAATTCTTCTTTTTGACGTACTATTATCTTAATAGTCCATATTGGCGCGGCAAGACAACTATCTTTTTGATTGTATTTTTATAAACGTAACTTTACTAATGATAAAAATGAATGACGCTTAAAATTATTTTTTGTATTTCTGCTTCGCTCGCCTGTTAGTGAGTGATCATACATATCTATGCTAAAATTAAATTATTTTTATTTTTTATGAACACACGGTTTTTGAAAACCGATATTGCCGGTTTTATTAATGTTGATGTATTATGAGTACGTTAACTAACCGCCATTCAATTCCCCGTTGAATGTTAGGGGATGGGTAAAGGTAATACAAGTCTCAGAAACTCCTTAATTCTGACAATTTAAAATATAACTTGCCTTTAAAATAAATATATTAGTATATACATATATACATTTTTAAATATAAATGTATAGCAACTAATCTTATCCTACACATCTAATTCCTGTCATATAGGATCAATCCATCAAAAATCTCTTCCAAAAACTCGATGAGCTTTATATGGAGCAGCCTGGCAATCGCGCCATCGCCTTGACTATACAATCAATGAATAAGCGCAATCACGAGATGTTGAAAGACTACATGGATAATGTACTGCCGCTTATTTTCTACGCTATGCACGAAGAAGAAAATATGGACTCTAAAACCAATATAGAAATGTGGAAGGATTTATGGAGCGACATAAACACCGGAGATGCCGGCATTCGCCTCAATCTCCATGCTATTATACCGAAACTGGAAGTTTCGCTAGTAGATGCCAGTTGGTCGCGAAAGACGCAGGCTGGTAATGCCATTCATACCATAGCAGTTCGATTGGGGCCCAGGTTAGAGGAGGCAGAGCGTGTACGCCTCATTATGCAGTTGCTTTCGGCACTATACGGACGGACATTTCAAGGAAAGGGGCGTCTTCTACAGGCATTGGCTTCGCTTTGCAAACACCTTAATCGACAGCACGAGATATGCCTAAGTATTATAGAAGCTTGTATGCGTGAAGCACGAAAAGAGGAGCCGCACTATCGTATTCTGGCATTGAAAGCTCTTGGTGATGTTTTGGAGTTACTTGAAGCGGATCGTTTTGAGGAAGTTTACAACATGATTTGGTATTTGTTGGAAATGAAGGATCTGGGCATAAACAATTTGGAAGATGAGGACGAAATGTTTTTGGTCAAGGATCAGACGATAGATGAGCGAAACAAGCGCGCTCAGATCCTAAACAATTTAAAAGAAGTAGTTTGGGAAACATTAGGTAAATCATGGCCCAAGCATGCCATCGAGACGCAGCGTAAGTTTCAGTTGCTGTTCGCCACTCATTGCACAACAATTCTAAGCGAAAGCACGCGGCCAGTACAAGTAAGTCTTTTGGCTGCTTTAACCAAATACATTGAGCGGCTGTACATTTTTGATGAAGCTGCTGAATTTTCTCAGCTATCAGAAGTAAATAGTGAAAAAAAACTTAAAACCGAGTCGCAATTTATGCAAACACACGAAATAATTGTAAAGCAGATTAGCACCGATGTATTGGCCGCTGTTTCCCTGGCCGCCGCACTACCCCATACGGGTCTAAAGAAGGAAGCCTTGAACATAATTTTAGTGTTAATAAAACGTGTAAACATAAACGACAAGCAAACTTTAACAGTTATCAAGCAGAATTTCGAATCAAATCTTGAACATTTTCAACGCGACTCTGCTCCAGAGGTTCGCTGCCGCATTAAGGACATCGAGAAAAAACTGAGCAATTTAAATTAAATGGTGATGGAGAAAACTGCAAAAATGTTCATTTCGTAGGTACTGGAAATTATATAAACCGTGTCTTTATTGACAGCATATAGAAATTAATTCCCGCAAAGTTAATTTAAATAAAATAAAATCTTTCACGAAAATATGTCTCGTTTATTTGAGTGTTTGAATGGAACTGAAACTTAAATCAAATCTATATCTATGCAAACCGTACGCTTGGCAACAATGGAGTGATCGTCAAGTTCTAAGGAATTTTAGTCTTGCCGACGGAAACATTGCAGACGCTGTGTCAGCAATTTTGACTATTTTGCAACGGGTCCTCTCGGTCGTCGATCGAGTTAACAACCAGGTAGTTAACTCCTCCCCCTTTAGTTGACGCTTGTCCTCAAGTATTTCTCAAAAATATGGGACATTGTTAAACTGTGAGGCTCTGGACGTCAAGACCTTTAGTTGCAGGGCATCGAACTTAGCTTTCTTCGTAAGTGTAGTCCCAGAAGAATTAAAAAGACCAGGGAGAACATAATAACCAGAGTATCCATAGTCATATCGGATTCTGTCTTCAGATGTTGTAACTGCTTTGTGTTGTTTATTATGCCATTATTATTCCATGTTACAGTGCCAATAAACTCGTTAGGTATGATGATGCCATTACCAATTTCTTCGATCTGTGGAACATGATCAGCATTACTAAAGTTGCAAAGTGACCTTTTTCCCCTTACTAGCTCGGGTATACAAATTGAGTTCCTTAAATTAGCAATTTGATTCTTACAATTTTTATACCCTGTACCCAAAGGGTGAAAGGGAGGGTATACTAGTTTTATGCGAATGTATGTAACAGGGAGAAGAAGGCGTGGCAGACCACACAAGTATATACATATATTCTTGATCAGGATGACAAGACGCGTCGATATAGCCATGTCTGTTTGTCTGTATGAACGCAAGGATTTCAGAAAGTATAAGAGCTAGAATAACCACACTCTGCCTGCAGCTTTACCCGCAGCTGTTGTTGTTGTTTTGGTTCAACTCTATGCTGCATACATACACCCTATAAACACGCAGAGACACGATCAGAATCTGATCTAAATTTATTCTATTGAAATTTTACATAAACACATGTATGTATGCATGTACTGAATATTTTATATTTAATTTAATTAATTAATAAAATATTTTTTAATAATTTTTTCTTAATTTTTCTTTTTTATGGAGATTACAGTGTATTTTACTGTCGGGCTTGCTCGACCGTAGCGTTCTATTTTGACATTGCACAGGAATATTTGAATTATTAAATTCTTTTTTACAATTGGTTTCAATTTTTCTTTAATTAGTCTTACTTGGTTCTGAAAACTCACTAAGGAAACTATCTTATTTAATTGAATTTCTTAAATCATTTGATATTTTAGTAAGCTTATTGAGTTTATTTTCAAGTTGCTTGTTAATTATTACTTACTGATCGTTATTGGAAATTAAGTTACTGAAATTATTTTCTATCATCACCAAATCGTCGTGGTCTGGGCTGCCGGCAGCATATTTCCATGCCGATCCTAACCAATGCAGGGATCTAGGTTTACATCGGTCAAATGATGAGATGATGGCGTAAAATGTGGTGAATGTTTGGATGATTTCATGATGAAGGGTATGGTATAAACTGATATCCTGCAAATCCTCTCTGTGAAGATTGAGCGTGTCTAGTGCGCTCCCGATTTGGTCCAAATTAATGAAATGGATGATTTTTGTCGTAGACGTTCCTATTTTCTCGATTCCCTTGTTGATCGATATGGTATGTGCGTTTGGATGGTCTAATAATTATTATAATCAGTAGGCTGAAAGAAATTATGAACTTTTAATGTTGGTCGCGAAAGACGCAGGCTGGTAATGCCATTCATACCATAGCATTTCGATTGGGGCCCAGGTTGGAGGAGGCAGAGTGTGTACGCCTCATTATGCAGTTGCTTTCGGCACTATAAAAATACAAACACCTTAATCGACAGCATGATATATGCGGAAGTATTATAGAAGCTTGTATGCGTGAAGCACGAAAAGAGGAGCCGCACTATCGTATTCTGGCATTGAAAGCTCTTGGTGATGTTTTGGAGTTACTTGAAGCGGATCGTTTTGAGGAAGTTTACATCATGATTTGGTATTTGTTGGAAATGAAGGATCTGGGCATAAACAATTTGGAAGATGAGGACGAAATGTTTTTGGTCAAGGATCAGACGATCGATGAGCGCGCTCAGATCCTAAACAATTTAAAGGAAGTAGTTTGGGAAACATTAGGTAAATCATGGCCCAAGCATGCCATCGAGACGCAGCGTAAGTTTCAGTTGCTGTTCGCCCCTCATTGCACAACAATTCTAAGCTAAAGCACGCGGCCAGTACAAGTAAGTCTTTTGGCTGCTTTAACCAAATACATTGAGCGGTTGTACATTTTTGATGAAGCTGCTGAATTTTCTCAGCTATCAGAAGTAAATAGTGAAAAAAAACTTAAAACCGAGTCGCAATTTATGCAAACACACGAAATAATTGTAAAGCAGATTAGCACCGATGTATTGGCCGCTGTTTCCCTGGCCGCCGCACTACCCCATACGGGTCTAAAGAAGGAAGCCTTGAACACAATTTTAGTGTTAATAAAACGTGTAAACATAAACGACAAGCAAACTTTAATAGTTATCAAGCAGAATTTCGAATCAAATCTTGAACATTTTCAACGCGACTCTGCTCCAGAGGCTCGCTGCCGCATTAAGGACATCGAGAAAAAACTGAGCAATTTATATTAAATGGTGATGGAGAAAACTGCAAAAATGTTCATTTCGTAGGTACTGGAAATTATATAAACCGTGTCTTTATTGACAGTATATAGAAGTTAATTCCCGCAAAGTTAATTTAAATAAAATAAAATCTTTCACGAAAATATGTCTCGTTTATTTGAGTGTTTGAATGGAACTGAAACTTAAATCAAATCTATATCTATGCAAACCGTACGCTTGGCAACAATGGAGTGATCGTCAAGTTCTAAGGAATTTTAGTCTTGCCGACGGAAACATTGCAGACGCTGTCAGCAATTTTGACTATTTTGCAACGGGTCCTCTCGGTCGTCGATCGAGTTAACAACGAGGTAGTTAACTCCTCCCCCTTTAGTTGACGCTTGTCCTCAAGTATTTCTCAAAAATATGGGACATTGTTAAACTGTGAGGCTCTGGACGTCAAGACCTTTAGTTGCAGGGCATCGAACTTGGCTTTCTTCGTAAGTGTAGTCCCAGAAGAATTAAAAAGACCAGGGAGAACATAATAACCAGAGTATCCATAGTCATATCGGATTCTGTCTTCAGATCTTGTAACTGCTTTGTGTTGTTTATTATGCCATTATTATTCCATGTTACAGTGCCAATAAACTCGTTAGGTATGATGATGCCATTACCAATTTCTTCGATCTGTGGAACATGATCAGCATTACTAAAGTTGCAAAGTGACCTTTTTCCCCTTACTAGCTCGGGTATACAAATTGAGTTCCTTAAATTAGCAATTTGATTCTTACAATTTTTATACCCTGTACCCAAAGGGTGTAAGGGAGGGTATACTAGTTTTATGCGAATGTATGTAACAGGGAGAAGAAGGCGTGGCAGACCACACAAGTATATACATATATTCTTGATCAGGATGACAAGACACGTCGATATAGCCATGTCTGTATGAACGCAAGGATTTCAGAAAGTAAAAGAGTGTAGTTGGAATCTTCAATCAAATTGAAAAAACAGTTTTATGTTAGCCAGAGCTTCTGCTCTACTTGGCTGTGCAAATGAATCTGAATATATTTGTGTGTGTGTTCAGTCTAATACATAAAATTCTTATATCTACATATTTGTATGTTTATTTGTGTATTTATGATTATTATGACAAAGGGTCACAATGTATGTATGTATTTACTGTTATACCCTTTGATTTGTATTACTGGCAGGGTAGATATACTACACCTCCCTTTTTAAAGAAATGACGTAATATATGTAGTCATTTAGAGAGTGTTAAAGTCGATATAAAAATTTTGTAATTAATAGTAATAAAAAAATGTTTTTTGTTGTGTTTTTTTTGTATTTTTGTATCTTATTTTATAAGTGCATTAAAAATGTATAAAAGTGTAATTAAAAATGTATAATATATATTAATTGTATTAAAATGTGTTATCTCTATTTATTAAAATATTTGTAAATTTTTTTTATATATTTGAAGTTTTTACTGTAACTTCACTCAACTTTAAATTGTCATTCGACTCTTGTAATGACGCGTTGCGTAGCGGGCAGCCGCGCGTCATTACGATGCCAAGTAGTTGTAAGTTAATAAGTAATTGTAAGAATAGTAAGCCATGAAGGCGGGTAATTTTAAGTTCGTTTGAGTTAGTTCTCTTTTGGCTTCTGCCCAACGCGCACTGAAGCGCGGGCAGTTTTGTTATTTTGATTCAAATAAAACACGTAGAGAAGTTTTGGCATACCGCCCTCTTTTATTTGTTGGACACCTCGGCACTTTGGGGTGCCTAATTTACTAATCTATTTCAGTATACTCTGGCCGGCGAGCATACCCGCGGCAGAGTAACAACGTTACACTCTTTAGAACAATTTAAATTTTTTTATATTATTCCCATTTGTTTTTATACTCTGTACATGAAATGTACAGAAGTATATTAGGTTTGCGGGAGCTGAAAAATGTAACAGGCAGAAGGAGACGTGGCAGACCCCACAAAGTATATATATTCTGGATCAGCGTGACAAGACGAGTCGATCTAGCCCTGTCCGTCTGTCCGTCCGTATGAACACCTGGATCTCAGAGACTATAAGAGATAGAGACACCAAATTTTGCACAAAGATGCGTTATGTGTGTATTCTAGTTTGTTTTATTTTTTTGATTCCCCCCCCCCACTTCCCCCCTATGGGGGTTTACCCGATTTTCCATTCGTATAATCGCCTATATCTCGGAGACTATAAGACCTAGGCACACCAAATTTTAATCCAAGATGCCTTGTGTGAATACGCAGAAAATGTATATTTTGGAAATTCCCTCCCTCCCCCCTCTCCCATGCAAATGCGATTTTCTCTAACTCCCGTAATTCTTGGAATTTCGAACTAAAATTTTGGAAATACCCCA